CTCCTTCAGGAAGGGTTTCAGCTGCAGCCAGGATTGCCCAGAAAAGGGGCAGCCGAGAGGCCGGCTGGAACTCAAGCAGGAAGGAAGGAAGGAAGGCTGGACTTGGACGACAGCCAAAGCCCTGGAAATCCAGCCCTTCTCAACACTGCCACACTTAGCACGTGTGAATGTCAGGCAGGTGGTTGAGCCACAGGGAGCTTTGGTGTGCACTGCAGTAAGTGTTTTGCCCTGCTGTACACATTCCTTCCCCTTTTATTTTTCTCTTTTGTAAAGCACCCAGTCGTTGGGAGTTGGGCTGCTCCCAAGTGTAATAAAAGAAGTCAGTGCAAAATAAATGAGAACCACTCTGAAAAATCCCTGAGTGGATGTTCATGAAAAAGCTAAGAAAAAGGAAAGGAAAAAGAAGTGCCCTGCACCACTTTTCTTTGGCCACGAGATGGCAGGATTGCTCCATGGTTGGGAAAGGAAGGCGGAAAACACACCTTCCCCTTTCAAAAGAGAATAAAATAAAAGTTTTATTTTCATTTTTAAATTTTATGTATTGATTTGCATCCTGCCTTTATTGTTTTTAGAAATAGCTCAAGGTGGTGAATGTATTTAATACTCCATCCTCCTCTTATTTTCCCCACAACAACAATCCTGCAAGGTGGGTTGGCCGAAGAGAAGGATTGGTCCAAAGACACCTAGTTTGCTTGCGTGCCTAAGGCAGGACTAGAACTCACCGTCTCCTGGTAATTGGCCCAAAGCCAACTAGCTGGCTTTCATTTTTCCCCTTCTTTATTTGCAAAGTTTCAGTCAGTTTGCTAATATTCAAATTCCCGACAATATGGAGTGGAGAGAGATGCCTTAATTTATTCGTGCAACACAGGATGAATTCTTTGAAAATGTGCATACCTCCCAAAGCGAAAAGCATGTGGCCGAACGGGGCCCCACTGTCATCTACGAAGAAGATCCGCTTCATGTACAAGGAGAGGAACTGGCCATAGAAAACTTCATCAAAGCTGGAATAAAACAATACAGTACCGTACGTATGGCACATTACCGTACGCAGAGTACCGTATGTACAGTACAGTACCATACATAAAGTACGGCACAGTGCAGTACCGTACACTACAGTACCACACCATGCAGTACCGTATGTAACGTGTGGCTTTTCTCGTGGCCAACGGGCTCACCACGAGAGGGTCCGGGCAGTCCTGCGCCGGACGGAGTGAGAACAAAGACACAGAGTCAAATTCTCCTCGGGATGAGTGAGCCCCGAGCTAGCTCGAGACCAACTCTTTTTATTGTGGTTTATTAGGGGTGGGTTACAGAATATCAGAAGGCAAGCATATGATTTAACCATACATATTTTGACACCTTGGATCGGATATACATATATGGCAAGCATAGCTAAGTCTATATGTGCAAAGCAGGTTTTTCTTATCATGTCCGGATTTATCCGGACAGGCTCTGTGGTTGGCGTTTCTGAGCAGTTTGCAACAGCAGGTGTGAATACATTTCTATAGAGCTTTTCCTGTTACAAGATGTTCAGATACATCGAAGCATGGAAATATCACAGTTACATGGTTATGTGGTTTGGAACAGGATGCAGCTACATTTATTGCTAACTAGCTTTGTGCATTTTAGCTCATAGCCTGACATGGTGGTTTCTATCAGAGGATGTGGTTGTCTCATTTACTGTCCTAGGCCTCTAGTACGCAAGTTGGCCATTGGCCTAATCTTGCTATAGAAGCCTGAAACATAAAAATCCCAACAGTAACGTACATACAGTACAATACAATAATAAAATAATAAAAATAAATAAATAAAT